ATATATAATACAGTGAGTGAAACAACAAAATAAAGGTAATTTCATCTTCACCTGTATCTTTTAATATCCAAGATACCTTTTTTTTACAGCAGGAGATTGTTCTTAAATAATTTACTTGTCAGATTTTATCTTGCCCTATCCTGCAGTTTATGATTAAAAAAAACAACAACAACAAAAACATGTTTCTGCTCAGTTCAAAACTTGCTGAAATTGTTGGTCTGTTTTTTCATGGCATCACCCTAAACAGATCTTTGTTTTCTTTATTTTTGTTAATCTTTTACTAAATATTGATGAAGTCCATTGACACGGAGAAGGTAATTATCTCCATAGCAACAAAATGTTCAGGTGAAAACATCAGTTTTCATTAGTGTCCAAACATCAAAGACCACTGAATGTACTGCTTATTGATGTCATACACCGCTGACTGACTTACACATAGCTGAATGATTTTGCTTTTTATTTATTTATTTACTTAATCCATTTCCAGATTCAGAAACAACAGAAGATGAAGGTGGAGACCAATTCGAGACCAAAGAAATTTGTGGTGATGTTGCAGACCAGGCTGTCCCTGGTGGTAATTATACTATTCAGCACTATATTTATTCAAATTATGGATTTAATGGAAAACTGAAATCTGTGATTGCTTTTACGTAAAACAGACCATAACCAATGTGAATGTGTTTATTTAGTTAAATTGTAAATGTAAGCCTGAATGTTTACTAGTTATGACCAAATTTTAAGGGAATTGTTACTTGGAAGTTGCATTTTGAACTTTTGGTTGCTAATCAACTGTTTGGATCAAAAACAGGGTTAATGTCAATAGTTGTATATAAAGTCACTATGAGCAAACCCTTAAATTAGCTTTTTGAAATAGGGTTGCTGTGAAAGTATTGATTATTGCTGCTTTAACATTGCACTCTTCGATTGTTTAACTTGGATGATTGACAAAAAACATTAGTGTAATTTCTTTTAAATGAAAACAGTGATGGACAAACGTGAAGAGGATAAAACAGCAACACATGGACATGAAAATCACTCCAAAAGGCAAGCCAGACACATAATTAGCATTTAAAAAAATACTTTTTCGTAGTAGGCTCAAATTCCATGGTATGAAATACTCTCTGCCCTCATATTCTAAGAATTTGCTTTAAATCTTTTTAGAAGTCAGTCAGAAGATTTTTCAAGAGAATCTCCCCCACAAATTCTTCCACCTCCTTCCCCAAGACTGGTCAAACGTACTTCCCCTTCTCCGATGCAAAGTCGCTCTGGTGCAACGACTCCTATCAGCCTGCGTAAGAAAACTGTTGTGCCAACTGAATACCAGGACACAGTTCCTGGGGAGTTTGAAGAAAAGGTCAAGCAGCCAAAAAGTGTGTTTCTAGGAGGCACCCCAGACTCCCGGCCACAGACTCCACTGAGCGAGTGCTCCCGGAAAGAGTTTACCCTTAGACCTTCTCCAAAACTTACAAGAGCAAGTTCTAAAGTTTTTGAGAAGGTCCGTGGCTTAGAGGAACGCAGACGAAGTCTTGATATTCCAGAAGGTTCCATCTCGGGAAGGTCTTGGGCAGGGTTTAATCGTGCGGGATCTGTAGATTCAGATGACGGTGGAAGCCGGTTGGGTATCTCCAGGGAAAGTTCAAGGGAAGATCTTAGAGAGGCTCTGAAAGAAGATGCAGCCGAACGGAGATCAATGTTTAAACAGAGGGCTGCTTCACTGGAGGAGAAACCTCGCTATTCTCAAAAAGTTCAGGACATAGAAAACAAGTTCACGGAGGAGCTACAGCGCATCAAAAAACTTGTAGGAAAACCCCATCTGAAAAAATCATTTTCAACTGAACAACTCACACTAAAGGGAAAGCACCGCCAGCCTCTAAGAAAAATTGAGCCCATTCCACCACAAGTCCTACAAAAGTTGCAAGAAAGGGAACGTGTGCAGTGGGCGAAGGAACAGAGAGAGAGGGAACTCAGCCAGCAACCAATGCAGCAACAAGAACTACAACAATCCCATTTACAAAAAGCAACAAATACTGGTTCATCAAGAGAAGGTAGATTTAGAGAGATTACAGGCCCCCCAGAGTCAGTGCAGCTATCTGACTTGCCAGGACAACGATCAGTGCGAGAATTAAACAGAGTCAGTCCAGTAACAGAAATCATTCAAAGAACATCATCACCAGCATTACATCAACAACAGAGAGAAGAATTCCCAAATGTTGCAATGACATTACGGAAGGTTGAACGAAGGCCACCAAGTCCACTTGTTCAGAGAGTATCTCGAATGCAAGAATCCCCACACATCCAAGAAAACAATGATGGTTCAGGAAGAAAAACACCAATGGAAGTAGCTGTACGAAAAATTGAGAACAGACCTGAAAGTCCTTTGGTCCAGAAAAGAACAGTCCCGGTGCAAGAAATTTCTCTTCAACCTCCCCTGAAACCCTCAAAAGTAGCATCAGTCACTTCAACGGAAGAGAAAATGGAGGTGGAGCTATCCAAACCAGCCTCAAAGTTAAAAGTTCCTTCAATAGTTATTGAAGATGAAAAAATGGAAGAAGATGTTACTACAAAGATAAGTGAGCCCTCGCAGATGAGTGCTGTTTCCAAAGAGCGCAAACAGCTGAAGATTAAAGGAAAGAACCGTCGCCCTCGACCTTTGTCTCCAGAGTTAGGTTTGTATCGCTTCTTTTATAAACCAAATCTTTGATACTCCAGTTTTTTCTTTATTTTTCAAACAACCACTCTTGATCAATGTCAGAATTTTCCCAATATTATCAGGGGAATCATTACCCAGGCTTATCTTTTTTTAATGTACAGATTCCTCAGATGATTCTTATGTGTCTGCCGGAGAAGATCCAATGGAAGCTCCCATATTCGAGGTCCCTCTTCAGGACATTTTAGCGTCTGCTGGTGCAGATGTGCTTCTAAAAGCTATAATTGCTGGAACGCCTATACCTGAAGGTAGCATGTTTCATATTGCATTTTCCCAAAATGTCTTCTAAATTATACATTTAAGCATTCAATGGGCAATAGCACTAATTTGTTTTCAATGGTTTCTCTGTTTAAGTTACTTGGACAAAGGACAACACTGACGTTTCAAGGATTGCACATTATATGGTCAAAGTGGAGGGTGAACGGCATAGTCTGCTCATAAAATCAGCAAAACTGAGTGATGCTGGAAAATATTGTGTAACTGCAGTTAATCAGGTGGGCAGAGCCTCCAGCTATGCTACTCTAACAGTTAAAGCAGGTGAGTTGAGACTTTGATGACTTATCGCATAAAACCATTGACATCTAGTTTTGAACCCAAAATCAATTCCCCCTTTATCGTAAGGTGGAATATAATTTTACTGTATAAAATTACAAGTTTTAATTGATTCAAATATAAGCCAAGATGGTGTAAAAAGGGGCCGAGATGGTGTAGAGGTAGGGCAGCCGACTTGGGACCAGAAAGTCACAGGTTCAACTTCCTACCATGCCCACATGTTGTGGTGCTACCTGAGCAAGACACCCAATCCCTAATTGCTCCACGGGTGCTCACATAACTGCCCACTGCTCCACCTGGGTGTATCTCATGTGTGAGGGGTTAAATGCAGAGAAACAATTTTGTAATTTTTGGGAACATATAATAATGACAACACATAACACTATACTTTATTTATATATATATAAAAAAGAATATATACATTTGGTAACATATCTTCAGAAAAAACAATATTTGAAGTAGCGTAGATGGTGTCTTTATCCTTCTCAGTATTCATTTAAAAATAGTGAACACGTCTAGAAACAATCCATTGTACATAACCATAATTTGCATTGTGTTTTTGAAGAAGCATTGTGCTTTCTCCTCCCACACTGACATTGTGTTTCTCTACTGCTGCTCCTTTATTGTTATCTTCCTGGCTGAGATGTGTGTATGCCATATACCCCAGCTGAATAACCTCACTTATAGTTACCATAGCAACAAAGAGGTGAAACTGAACCTATAAATTGCCCACTGAGTCTCACTAGCGCTCTTCACTGTGAATCCTCACTATTGTTTTGGCGCCACACTATTTTGCATTTCAGATAATAATTATGTGGTGTTGCGCGGGGGGTGGGGGGATTTGTGTTGCATGTGAACTCTTTGAACTCCTGTGTTCTCACTGAGTTGTGCAAAAACAAAAATCAATATCTACATGGACCAAATGAAATGCAGCAATTCTAAGCATTTTTGAAACATATTACAATGGGAAAACTAACGGACTAATATTGTTTTTTAGAGTCTGTGCAGGAGCCAAAAGGAGGCCTGGGAGTTCCAATGGAGATCAGCAGCCCTATCACATCTGATGAAGAGTATCTAAGTCCTTTGGAGGAGGCTATGGATTTTGGAGTCCAAGAGTCAAGGCGAACTATTGACTCACAATTCAGAGAACCACCTTCATTTCTGGTGACAGCTTGCAACATCAAATTTAATTCACTTTCTGTTTTAAATATCAAACATTTATCATTTGGATTCAACTACCTGTATGTTTTTTTTGTTTTGTGTTGCCTCTATCAAATTCAACTTACAATTTCTAACTTGCACAATGGCTGAAACAGGTAACATTGATGGATCAAGCTGTCGCCGAAGGACAGGAAGTGACCATGTCTGTTCGAATAAGTGGACAACCCAAACCCATGCTTTATTGGTAGGTTCCTTTAGGACATCAGAGCACTTGACCGCACTGTTTTGGTTTGTTGCTATTTGTTGCAGAGCAAACAGGGGGAATTGAAAATACCCTCCGTACATCTGTCCATCGTCAGTCATGCTGCTTGATAACTTGAAAAATAAGTGAGATACCAACTTATATTTTGGTGTGTGGCTGCATCTAGGCAAAAGAAAGTTCCCTACTGAAAATTGGGTTAGCACGTTAAAATCCAAGAAGGCTGCCACCATATACGTCTGTCTGTCTTGAGAGCTGGATAACTTCAAAAAATAAGCTGCATGCCAACAAAAAAAATTGTGTGTGGCTGCATCTATGAGCAAGAAAGATAACCACTGAAAATTGGGTTGCCACATCAAAATTCAAGATGGCCATTGCCATATACAGTGGGTAAACTTTTAGGTCTAAAAACGGAAGAGCAAAAAAGTTTTTTTGTTGGCATGCAGCTTATTTTTTGAAGTTATCCA